GAACAAACGTGTGTGTGTGTGTGTGTGTGTGTGTGTGTGTGTGTGTGTGTGTGTGTGTGTGTGTGTGTGTGTGTGTGTGTGTGTGTGTGTGTGTGTTTCTGCCACCAAGAGAGGGTGTGTACAAGAGAGTACGTGGGTGTGCATGTGGCATGGCAGGGTGCAAGCGAGCTACCCAAAGCACAACTGCGGAGAGAACCCCCTTGGCGTACCGCAGTGCGACGTCCTTCTCGTCGTCATTCGCAGTTGTGCAGCTCATGACAATGGTCACTTGATCGTGCACCGGAGGACGCTCATAGTCCTCTCCAGCGCCTTCGGAGAGCACCTGGACCACAAGACGGAAGAGATGAGGCAACATTGGGGGAGGAGACGAGGGGGGGGGGGGGGGCAAATGAGGTGAGACTGGAGACTGGACGCAAAGTGCACAGAGATGACAGATACAGACACACGCATACACAAGCGACCATACACACACGCGCACATACACAAGCGACCATACACACACACATACATACATACACAAGCAACCATACACACACACGCGCGCGCGCGCACACACACACACACACACACACACACACACACACACACACACACACACACACACACACACACACACACACACACACACACACACACACACACACACACACACACACACACACACACACACACACACACACACACACACACACACACACACACCTGTTTGTTCACCGCGATGTCCGCCATCGTGGGGTGCTGTCCTCGACACCACAATTTTCGAAAGTGGCCGTTGTAAGTGGCAGTGGTTGGTTGGTTTGGATATGAGTGGAACAGTGGAGGAGGTGCGGGCAGCCGCGGATCGCGTGTTGCGGGACCACCTGCTGGGATCAAAGCTGTACGACACCTTGACCCTTGACCAGTTCAAGGCGCTTTTTCCCCAGAAATACAGGTGTGTTGTATGTGCTTGTCTGTGTTTCTGTTTGTTTGTGTCTGTCTGTGTCTGCGTGTGTGTGTGTGTGTGCGTGCGTGTGTGTGTGTGTGTGTGTGTGTGTGTGTGTGTGTTTCTGTGTTTGGATGACCTTTGTGCTCCGTCGTGCATTTGCGCGCGAAACCCCATTCACCCACCACCACCCGCTCCCACAACATTTGATGCCCCACTGTGTTGTGTCCACGGTGTAGAGCCATGCTTCCCCAGCCCACTCCTTTGCACCAACCCCTCCTCCTCGTTACACACACATTCACGCATGCAAACTCTCAACTTCACTCACGCGCACACGCGCGCCCTCTGTAACAACAGATCATCGCCGCTTGTGGACGACATCTATGACCTGCTGTTGCAGCGCCGAGATGAAGTGCGACAAGTGGTTGAAGCGAACATCCAGGGCTTCGTGGACAACATCAACGTAGGTCACGCCACGACACACTGAACACCACAGCCTCACACTCGCCCACCACACCCACCATCAGCGTGGTACTTTATCTGTATCTTTGTCCCTGTGCAGTCTCTTGACTTATCTCTCTGCCTCTCTGCCTGTGTGTCTGTGTCTGCCTTCGATCTGTCTCTCTTGCTGTTTCTCTGTCTTCTATCTGGCCATCTGTCTGTGCGCCTGTTGGAGCCAGGCGCCTGTGTTTCTGGCACACCCTTGTCTGTTGGATTTGTACGACGCCTCGCTTTCGTCCTTGGTCCCACCGCCATACTCGCTCGTTTCTTCGCACTGTTTGTGTTTGTGTTTGTGCGACAGCTTTCAAGACAAGTACCGAACCTGACGCTCGCCGATGCCATTGCGCTCCTCAAATCCATCAACGAGAAACACCAGCTCGAGCTCGCACATGTAAGCTCACCCTGAACCAACATAGGGCTCCATAGCATGCGTCCTCCCTCTGTGCAGGATCACACACACGCTCACTCACTCACTCACTCACTCACTCACACACACACACACACAAACACACACAAACACACTCTCTCTCTGTCTCACACACACACACACTCTCTCTCTCTCTCTCTCTCTGTCACACACACACACACACACTCAATCACACCCTCACACACACACACTCAATCACACCCTCACACACACACTCACTCAATCACACCCTCTCACACACACACACACTCAATCACACCCTCACACACACACTCAATCACACCCTCACACACACACACTCCCTCCCCCCCCCCCTCCCAATTTTACCCGCAGGAACGGGCACGATTACAAGAATTGGAGAAGAGGCTATCCCAACAACTGGCGTGGATGGATGGCCCACATGCAAAAGCCCTCGCCCAGCTCAGCAGAGCGGTGGACCTTGATGCTGCCAAAGTGAGTACACGCTCTTTCCTCCCCCGCCCCATGCAGCGCTTCTCATTCCCCCCCCCCTCTTCTTGCTCCTCACCTCACATTATCTCGTGCGACCCCCGTCCATCCCCCCCCCTTGCCTCTTTACCCGCTTTGCTTGTACATGTTCAGGACGTACACCGTACGCTCGTGGGCCTTTTGGAATCAAGCTGATCTGCTTGGTGGTACTCCCCAGTTCGGTCACATCACTGCTGCGACCTAACCTGCCTCCGCGCTCCACTATTGAATATCCATTGCTACACGATTGCTTGATTTGTTTGATTGATTTCTGTTTCGTTTTGAGCCTGTATCCCACACTCAATGTACACAAGGCCGGCCATTCCACTCTGGGCTTGCTAGCGCCATATGCTTTGCTCCATTTGAGCATATCCCCTGCTTCCCATTTCTTAGTTTTCCTCCCTTGCCCCTCCCCTCTTCCCTCGTTCTGTCCAGCTGCGTCCGGTTATCCCCCTGCCCATGCGTTCTTCTTCTGAGCACCATTGCAGCATTGCGTGCAGGGCAAGCTCACAATGAACATAAGCGACACCCCATCGCCGTAATCCCCCAACTTTCTTTCAAGCATGCCTGGGGGTGGAAAACCCACACACTTTTCCCACGCAAACCCTACGCCTTCCTGCCTGTAAAACCGAGTCGATCAAACACAAACCCCTGCAAAGACGGCGACCTGCACCCCCTCGGTCCATCTTCTTGCCTTTCTTCCTTTGGCATGTCCACTGTAAACAATGTCAAGCACCATGAGCAGCCGACTCTTTTCGTTGCTGCAAGACCATCACCATTCATCGCTGTTGTGGACTCGAGGACTCGGGCCGCCACCATACGCCACCACCCAATCGCGTGCCTCACTGGCCATCGTCTTTGCAACGTTTGAACGTTAGCCTTCAGGTGACCATGCTTGACTCGCTTGCCATCTTCTGCTTTGTGTCACTGTGCATGTTGATGTGTTGCCATCCCTACCACCACTTGCCTCTCTCCACCCGCGGTGCTCCAATCACCTCAGAAACCTACCTCATCACCAATTCTTCTTCACCCTGCCTCTCTAACTTCTTGCTTCATCCTCCTCCTCCTCTTCTTTCCCCTTGTTCTACCCGCCTCCTTGGCTCTTCCACCACATTCCCACCACCACCACCACCACCATTAGCGACAACAACAACAACACGGCCTCGCAGAACTGCAAGGATGGACGATGACGTTGGCATGAGCTGGTGGTCACCAGGGAAACATGACGGCGTTCTCTTCGGCCCTACCTCCCCGCGCTTTATCACACCAGAGAAGCTGGCACACAATCTTCAATCCAGCACACCTTTTCATGAGGCCGTCAACCCCTCGTCTAGTTCCGCTGCCACTGCATCCCACGCCGCTACAACCAGCACCGCGGCTGCCCACTATGACATGTCTATGTCCGCTGCTGAGCTGTCATACCTTTCCACCACCAGCACTGATGCCAGACACGTGTGGCAGAGTGCCAACAGCGAGATCCTCCATCTCCTGGCAACACCACTGCCAGGGTCCATCGACCTCAGCACACCACGTCGCGCCAGCCTCCTGCCCGCTTCCCACCTCCTCGATCTCAACTCGCCCAGGCCCCTTGACGAGTTCCAAACGATGCCCCCCGCAGCGCTGCCGTCAACCGCCACAACATCGACCCCAGCTGGCCCAGCTGCACACGGGTCCCGCACCCGAGCCAGGGAACTCACGTTTGGCAAGCCCGAGACATCACACGCTGAAGACTCCAGCCTGTTCCTGCCGCTCGATGTCACATCTCTTGACCAAGAAGATCACGGCGGCACCAGCACAGGGGACAATGGCCGCAACAACAACATTGTCATCAGCGTCAAGAGCAGCGACAATAACACCACCAGCATCAGCAACAACACCATCAGCATCAGCAACAACAACAACATCAACAACAACAGCAACAACAACAACAACAACGATGGCGGTGGCGACCTCTATCAAGCAGACCAGCAGAACCTGCGCTCACCTAGACAGAGCGTACTGGATGCCTTTGACGAAGCCCTTGCAGAGTCAATGCAGGACGACGATGACAGGGCCCTGGAGCGACTTCTTCGTCGGCTGGACAGACAGTCAGAGGTTGGAGACTTGGATGAGGACAGCGATGATGCCGGTACTGTGCGTGAATTCGAGGAGACACCCAGAGGGGCTGAAAGCACAGCTAAGGATCCGGCAGTCATGTACACCTACAGCGACCCCCAGAAGAGCGTCTCTGCCGCAGCTAGAAAGCCCTCCAGCAGCAGCAGCAACAACAACAACAACAACAACAACAACAACAACAACAACAACAACAACAACAACAACAACAACAACAGCAGCAGAAACCGTGATGGGGTGGTGAAAGGTTCCCGTGGCAAGAAGCACGTTGGATCAGCTCCAGCGTCAAAGAAGGTGAAGAAGAAGGCGAAGAAGAAGGCGCCAGCCACCACAACCGGTGCGAAGAAGATGAAGCAGAAAAGAAATGCGTCCAAGCGTCCTCAGCAGTCAGCAGCCTTGAGGCAGCAAGCCACGACAGCAACGGCAGCAACAACAGCGGCAACCACAGCAACAGCAGCAGGGGGTAGTAGCAAGAAGAAGAAGAATGGTGTACAAGAAGTGGAGGGTGGTTCAAAGTCAACCATCAGTGCGGCATTCTCTTCACCATCGCCCTTGTCTTCAAGTTCCATGCCGAAGACAGCCACCCCAACCAAGAAGCGTATGGTCAATGACGAGCAGAAGCAGCGCGAGTTGCATGTGCTAGTGAATCGGCGGTACCAGACCCGCCACACAGTGTCGAAGCTGCTGAAGAACTGCGACGGAGATGCCGCTACGAAGCAGATGACTGGCACAACCTCAGTCGAGACCAGCGAGGCAGCCAGCGATCACAGTGTGCAAGGACTGCGACGTTCTCCCCGCAAGTCCACGAGCCCGTACAAGAGGTCCTCGGCAGCGAACACCGCGAAGAAGGCAAAGCTCGTGCCCGCGCAGAAGAAGAAGCAGCAGGGCACATCCACTGCCACCACAATCAAGAAGAAGAAGAGGAGGAGGAGGGCCGCCGCACGCCGAAAGCAGCATCGCAGTCGTGCTTCCAGCAACGCGCCGACTCTCAGCGCCCGCAGCGTCAGCATCATCACCCCTGAGGAAGCGCTAACCATTGCTGGGTTTCAGCCCTTCAGCTTGTATGCGGACAGCAACATCCGCGACCTGTATCGGCTGCTCTTCCAGCTCGCGCAGATGCGACTCTACAGCTTCACCCACTCCTGGGTTTCCAAGCGCGACCGTCTGCTCTTCTTTCCAGAAGCAAACGTACGCAACAGCAAACGAGTGCAGTGCGCGCGCAACAGCCTGGCGGCTACGCGTTCTCCTCGTGTTGTCTTCCGATGTGTTGGGCTGTGGTCTGTGTTGCGCTATGATGTGTTGTGTTGCGTATTGACATCAGATTATTGGACTGACGTCATGTGTCTGTTTGTTGATGTTGATGAATCTGCAGGTTGAACTGTCCTTCAAGCGATTTGTAACCGTTCTCCAGGAACATGGCGTGGCGGTGGAGCACTTGGTAACAAACGCCGACACATTGGGCGACGGCCACTTCCTTGTCAAGCGCGATGAGGTGTGTGTGCGCGCATGTATGTGTTTTGTGTGGAGGTGTGTTTGCGTGCTTGTGCGTGCGTGTGTGTGTGTTTGCGTGCTTGTGTGTGTGTGTGTGTGTGTATTTGCGTGCTTGTGTGCGTGCGTGCGTGTATATGAGTATGTGTCCATGCTTGTGCTCCGTGTGCGTGCGTTTGCTTTGTTGCTGCCTAATGCTAGTCGTTGCTGAACGCGTGCATTTGGCGTGAGGCCCCTCACGTTCCCATCCCTTTGCTTTACTCGTAGATTACGTGGAAGCGCCCACAATGCAAATACGTGCGCGGAAAGAATGGTCTCGTGTACCAGGACCGCCGGTTTGAGGTGTCAAGCTTCCTCTTCTGGCTGTGTGGCGTCACAGAGCCGGAGGAACTGCCGTTCCTCCACAGCCGCCCCGATCAGGTGCCGTCCAATCTCAAGCTTTGTGGCTGTCTTGATGCCCTTGTGCAACAACATGCCTTCGTTCGAGCTGATGGTGAATGTTCGCGCAGAGCAGAGATGTGCACGATTCTCCTCCTCTACACCTCACTTTCACGATGACATGTGCTCTGTGTGCTGCGCTCACTCACTCACACATACACACACACCCTCTCTCACACTCACACACACTCACACACATACACACACACACACACACACACACACACACACTCACTCACTGCATCTGTCGCGGCACACAGCTCAAGCCACGTTGCGAGTTTGGGTTCCACGGTAGCAGGCGTGGGTTCAAGCACAAGCGCAAGCTGTGCCTCAATCCAGCACACTACACCACGAACGACCTGTCAAACCTCAAGGATTGCTGGAAGACCTGCTTCAAGTCAAACCCAGCATTCGAGCACGAGATTCGCATGCCAGGCGACAAGGCACTCTGCTTCTGCGATGTCAGTGAAAGCGAGAGTGAGAGCGAGAGAGAGAGAGAGAGTGTGTGTGTGTGTGTTGGTACATGGTTGTTTGTGTTTATGTGTGAGTGTAAGTACATGTTTGTTTGCACGTGGGCGTGCGCGTTGGTTGTACTCATTGATATCATGCTCACACTGAGGTTCGTTTATTACACGTTGGCATGGTGCAGGAGTGTCACGTGCGCAGCATGTGGCTTGTGTCCAAGATCAAAGGGTATCAGATTCCAAAGGAAGTGGACGAGCAAGTGAAGCGCACAAGCACTCCAGAGTTTCTCGAGAGCGTCTCCACGTACATCTCCCGCGTCATTTACTCTCCCGCATTCCGCAACGCACGCGCCTAACCAAGAGGTCAGCCGCGCACCTTATTGTAGTTGTAGTAGTAGTAGTAGTAGTAGTAGTAGTAGTAGTAGTAGTAGTAGTAGTAGTAGTAGTAGTAGTAGTAGTAGTAGTAGTAGTAGTAGTAGTAGTAGTAGTAGTAGTAGTAGTAGTAGTAGTAGTAGTAGTAGTAGTAGTAGTAGTAGTAGTAGTAGTAGTAGTAGTAGTAGTAGTAGTAGTAGTAGTAGTAGTAGTAGTAGTAGTAGTAGTAGTAGTAGTAGTAGTAGTTGTTGTAGTAGTAGTTGTTGTTGTAGTTGTTGTTGTAGTAGTTGTTGTTGTAGTTGTAGTTGTTGTTGTTGATGTTGTTGTTGTTGTTTTGCTGCGCTATGTCCCACCATCGACACCACCACCAGTGTCATCACCACCGCCACTACCACCAATCGCTGCACATGTCATGCATCTGCGTCGTCTGGCGTGTCATCCATGGTTGCGCTTGCTGTGCTGGATTTGAGCTGCAAGTAGTGCTGCTTGACCTCCTTGCGCGCATCCTGGCTCACGATGATCGCCCTCTTTGTCTCGTCGTACCAGATGCATGCCTGACGCTCCTTGACAAAGGCAAGCAGCTTCGGGAAGATGGGCTTGGGCAAGTGGCGGAACAACACGCCCTCCGTCTTGGACAGGCGACTTGTTTCTTGCTCCCACAGCAGGATTTGATCGCTCACCGTTGGTGGCACGGGCGAAAACACTACAGCAACAGGAAAGGGGGGGGGGTATCATGGGTGAGCGTGCGTGTTGACATTAATGGTCGTGTGTGCGTGCGTTTGTGTTTGTTGTTGTTGTTGTTGCTGCTGCTGCTGCTGCTGCTGTTGTTGTTGTTGTTGTTGTTGTTGTTGTTGTTGTTGTTGTTGTTGTTGTTGTTGTTGTTGTTGTTGTTGTTGTTGTTGGCTGTATCAGAGAGCCCAGTTGGTGGCACTTTGATGTGACGCATTGATGTGAAAGGGGAGGGAGGTGGAAATAAAAGAAAGTTGAACGTGACATGAACTGACCTGAGTGGGGCTGGTGGCGCATGCGTGAGCTGCAGTGCACCTTGAGAAAATGAAGGATCTGGCGAGCCGTGATACCCTGCGCCATGGCTTGGCGCACACTTGACCGCGTAATGGATGCCACCAGCATCGTGGGCAACTTGTATAGCTACGCACACAACAACCAAAGCAACAACAAGGCCGTCATGCATGCGTCAGCAGGTATGTCCGCACGTGCTCATGCATGTTCATAGCATGTGAGCTGGCAACACAGAAGCAGTAGGCGTCTCAAGAGCAAATAGGAGTGTGGCAAGATGCGCGAGGGGTTCGTGTAGGCATGCTTCCACAAACGAACCGGCTTTGCAAACAGCTTGAGCAAGGAGATTTTGAGGTCGGACTTGGTGTAGGCGTAGATGCGGAAGTTGGTCTCAATCACCAGGAACCCCTGCATGGCGTTCCAAGATAAAAACAGCACGGGCAGCAGGAACGGGGGGGGGAACATGGAGAATGGTGACATCCAGAAAGACTGGCAGGACCACTTTGACAAGTGATCACGCACACACCCACCCACACGCAGACAGGCTGACATGCAAGTGATACCACACACACACACACACACACACATACACACGCACACACACACGCACACGCACACACACACACACACACACACACACACGCACGCACACGCACATACACACACACACACCTCATCGCGTCCTTTGCCACGAGGGCGCTGCTGGTCCTGAGAGCGAGAGCGAGGCGTGTTGGGTAGTATTGCTTTGACTTTTTCTTGCGGTGGTAGCAGAGCCCAATCTTGGAAAAATGGCGCAGCACGAGGTGTTCTGTCTTGTTCAACACCTCCGTTGGGTAATACTGCCACCACGTACGCATGCAGGCAGTGCAGGCAAGAATCGTGCACATGCAGGCATGAGAATGCCGGTGAAGCTCGCACCAGGCGAAAGGGGAAGGGCATATGATTTTCACATCCCGGGGGTCAGCAAATTGCAAGCGACATGTGTGTTGAAACAATTGCGAAGCCCACACGGCATATCAGCATCAAGAGCGCATGGGGAGAGCAAGTGGGCACTAACGTTGCCAAAGGTGGTGTAGGCGACACGAAACACAAAGCCAAGCGCGTCCTCAATGTCAATGCCTTCGTTCTGCACACAAGCAGACATGGCCGAAAGATGTGCAACACTCGGACTGGTGCATAAAAGCAGTATGTACAGTGCACGAGGACTCAACGCACAACAATCAAAGCACAAAGCATCCAGTCCCAGACACACACACACACACACACACACACACACACACACACACCTGGCAGGTTTGCAGGAACTTGATGACGTAGAACCACAGCTGTGTGCGTCGATCTTGCAAGAGAAACTGGAACCCGAGCGATGAGATGTCAAAGTCCTGCACATCTTCTCGCCTGTCGAGCAATGCACGTACGTGTGAACGAGGGAAGTGCATGCTGGCGCTGTAGGCTGCGACAGGGGTGCGTGCAGCACACACACACACAGAGGGAGAGATAAAGACGGAGAGAGAGAGAGAGAGAGAGAGAGAGAGAGAGAGAGAGAGAGAGAGAGAGAGAGAGAGAGAGAGAGAGAAATACACGCACACACACGCACACACACGCACACACACACATACACACACACGCATACACACACACGCACACACACACGCACACACACACACGTATACATACACACACACGCAAGCACTGCTGCGTCGAACCATGTCATGAGGTGTGATTGATACAAGGCCTGCTTCACCGTGTCCTCTTCCAAGCTGTCACTGCCAACCATGTAGTCCAGCACGTCCTACGCATGTCGCATGATACGGCAAGAAGGCAGCAGGGAGCGAAGTTGAGTTTCACAGGGCCAGAGCGGGTATAAATCGCAGTCAAAAGGCAGCGACAGCGTGGCAGGCAGGCTTACCTCCCACTTCTCGTCTGCATACTGTTGCAGGAAGTCCTTTGACGCTGCGTGTTTGCCTGGATCGGGCGCTTGGCAGCGCTCTTTCCCAGTGCTGAAAGAAGAAGGCAATGTGTGCATGTGTGTGTGTGTGTGTGTGTGTGTGTGTGTGTGTGTGTGTGTGCGTGCGTGCGTGCGTGTGTGTGTGTGTGTGTGTGTGTGTGTGTGTGTGTGTGTGTGTGTGTGTGTGTGTGTGTGTGTGTGTGTGTGTGTGTGTGTGTGAAGGTGCGAACAAATATGTGCGGGAGAAGGGTGCAGGGTGGTGGCGCGCGAAAGCGGCGACAACCACTTTGGTACACGTGTGCCAGCATACCCTTGCAGCGCAGCGATGAGGCCGTTCTTGAAGGGCTGGGCCACGGCAACGGCACCGTCTCCACTCACAGCCAAGATCTGAAGCTTCTGCAGCTGTTCCAAACTCTCTGTCCACAGCCTTTTGAACACGAAGAGCAAGCACAGATATGAAGGAGGTTGCCGTGAGTGCACCAGCTCCTGCGGATGTGATAATGACTGGAAACAATGCCCCGCAACTAGCTGACTGCCCGTTGAGGACCAACAAGACGAAGGCGCACCTGGCTTGCTCGGGGACAATCCAAGTTGAGACGATGGCCTTGCTCAGTGCTGATGGCAGATACAGCAACCGCAGCACCATCTGCTTGGACAGCCCATCCAGACACCTGCGCGTGTGCGTTCGTTGAGAAAGGGGTGAGGTGGACCGTGAAAGGGTGCACATGAATGAGTGTGCAGATGAGGGCGTCATGTTGCCCATGGACAGTGTAGACAACAGCAACCTACATGCACAAGAGTTCACACACACAGACACACACACAGACACACACAGACACACACAGACACACACAGACACACACACAGACACACACACAAACAGACACACAAACAGACACAGACACATACAAGTGCAATCACTCACACACACACACACACACACACACACACGTAGCAAGACGTACAGCTGAAAGAGGCCCAAGCAAGCGTGTGCGTGCTTGTACATGCGGAGGAACGTGCTGTCAGGGAGCGTCAGCAGGAACGCCCGCACATCTGCTCCATCTTGGATCGTCGTGTCTTCCATGTTGATCGAGGGGAGGAAGCAAGAGTTCAGTGTCGCGCGTCAGATCATCAGAGCGCAGTCGTCGTTCAAATGACAACTGGCCCCAACAGCATAAAACAGAGCTCACTGTCACCTGCCTTCCACTACACTCCTGTTGGCGCCATCTCTGACAGACCCACACACACATACACAGTCACACAGTCACACACAGTCACACACAGTCACACACAGTCACACACAGTCACACACACACACACACACACACACACACGCACAGACACATACAGACACACACACACACACATGGTCCCAAACGGCGGCGATGGCGGGAGGACGCTGTTTGTGTCACTGATTGCGTTTGTGGTGTTGGCAGCGCCTGGGCTGTACATCCTCGTGGCGCCATCAGAGGCAGACACAGCCGTGTACTCGGCACACACTCAACGCCTCGAGGTGCATGGCGGAGAACTACCTCAGCTCCAAGTGCAGCCGGCAGCCTCAAGCAAACGGCAACGCACGCAACAACAATCAATGCAACAACAAACAACGCAAGAGCAGCAGCAAACGAAGGCACCAGCATCAACGGCAAACGCAGAGCAAGGCCTCGTGCCTCAGACAGCCTCGCCCAAGAACGATGGGGAGCATACACCAACAACAGCGGCAGTGGAGGCAACACGGCCAGCACCACCAGGGAAGCTCCGTGTGCGCACGGAAAACGGGCCATACGACATCAGGGAAGCTGTTCGCGTCTGTCACGCAAAAGGACATGCTCGACCCCCCAGCCCAGCCTCGAGCAGCAGCAGCAGCAGCAGCAGCAGCAACTACGTGTACTTGGGGTGTCTTGTGTTCACAGAAGAGGCGTTGGATAAGGCAGCCACTTTGCCTGTGGCCGACTCGTGGGATGCATGTGCCAGTGCATGTACCAGTCGACACCTGCCTCTCTTCATGCTCTTCGCTGAAAAACAGCAGCAGCACTTGCCTGGGGAGCTGGGCAAGCGGCGCTGTGCGTGTTTCTCCGAGCAGCTGCCCACGCCAGCCCGCGCGTGCACTGCGGCACAAGCCACAGTGGCTTCCACGTCAGCACCACCCGCCGCGTGGGGCAGCAAGTGCGACACAGCGCCCTGCCTGTCGACGACCACCGAGCACCACCTCTACCACATTGGACAGTATCCGAGCCGCCACATGGGTTCGCAGGAGGGCGCTGCCACGCCAGATGAGCGCGAGCACGTCGACGTGCACCTGTTCGTGCACGACCGCCTCAGCAG